TCTCCAGGATCCTTGAGGCATAAGTATATGTACTATATTTGTGTTTGGGTACACACATACAGTTTGTTGTTGTTCAGTCTTTATTTCAGTTGTGTTTGACCTTCATGACCCCATTTGGGGGGTTTTCTTGGCTAAGGTACTGAAGTGGTTTGCCATTTCCTTTTCCAGCTTGTTTTACAGTTAAGGAAACTGAGGCAAACAGAGTTCAGTGACTTGTCTAGGGTCACACAGCTAGTAAGTCTCTTAAGCCAGATTTGAACTCAGGAAGATGAATCTTCCTGACTCCAGGCCTGCACTGGATACACTACGCCACCTAACTGCCTCACATGTGCAGTACACGCACACATTCCCTTTCAGGTAATATTTTCTACCTATAATATGTTCTTTCCTCAGTCTTTTGTAAACCATAACAAAAGGGGCAGCTAGGTGGCGCAGTAGATAGAGCATCAGCCCTGGATCCAGGAAGACTTGAGTTCAAATGCGGCCTCAGACACATAACACTTATTAGCTGTGTGACCCTGGGCAAGTCACTTAACCCCATTGCCTAACCAAAAATCGAAACAAAACAAAACAAAAAAACCATGTAATGAAGAACATTTGCCTTATCCAATGTTTAGTCATTATATTGTATAAAGATTTCAACCTTAGAAAAAAAGGGGAAAATGTGCTCCCTCTGATTTCATAGTTTTACCCCTGTTGCTAGGGAACTAATTTCCTACTGTATTCACCTGTTAGTCATACCACCTTCTAAAAACATACTGTGTATTTAAGGAACAAATTCTCAAAACAACCAATTACATAAATCCAAAATTATTTCAATTTAATTTGTGGGTGGGTTTTTCTTTATGTGTTAAAAATTCCAACTCTGTGTAAAATTAGGCTCAGTTGTGAGTTTCAACTTTAAAAGTATATAACTGCATGTAAAAATGTATACAGGAAGATAAAAGTATCTCTATCTACTGACCACAGAACTTGGTCTAAAAGTAAATATAAAGCTTAAAACTTACCAATATATTTAGAGTTAATAAACAAGCATCTTTAAGTGAAAAAATTTTTTTACATCTGTATCAATGTTCTCTTAAGAAGATCATAGCTACATTTATATGACGCCAAAGGACAGCCAAAAAATTATTTTGAAGACTCAATTTTGTAATTTCCTATTCTCCAAAGTATCAAACAACTAGTTTGATTTGACTTATTTTCCACCAAAGCTGTTGATGTAATCCTGGATAGGCACAATCTTTAAGTACTTTGTCAATAAATTTAAAAAACAACAACAACAAAATAAATATTTCTTATTTAGCCACCTTCTCCAGCAGAAGGGGAAAGCACCAAGAAGACATAGTAGACAAGATTCAGGTAGTTGCTGTTATTGTTTTTACTTTGTTTGTACTTATCTACTATCTTGATATAAGTTTCCTACTGAAAAAATAATAATAATAAAAGAAGACAGGAGGAAAGTTTTTTTTAAGCCACATATATGCCAGTCAATGGTTCAGAGCCAATTATCATTTAGGTTTGTGTAGCTATGTGCAGAATCTGTTCTGTACACATGCACGCGCACACACACACGTACACTCACACTCTAGGGATCAAGAAAATTATTCCCCAAAGCACAGGAAGAATCCATTTTCTTCTAGTTATTTCAGAAAGGCAGGAAGACAAGCTGTTAGAGCCCATAGAAAATTGCAACAGAACTACTTTCCTTTGTCTTTACACTCTACAGCCTGAAGCCACTCAAGCTATGGGCAAGTGAAAGTTTCACACCACTGACAAGCTGCAAATTCAGCCACTCTCTGAAACACTGAAGGACACCCTAAAACCTTGTTGTCTCAATTACCCACTCCTTCTGTAACTTCAACAGGTGGGCCGGGGAAGCAGGGGACCCAACTGATCAGGAGTCCTTATCAATCCTCTACAATACATGCATACAAATATGGATACATAGACAAGTATTTGCATATGTATACACACACATTCTACCTCAGCCATCCACAAGTATAATCCCACCTTAGATCTCACCCACCATCCATGATTTTGAATTCTAAAATTCTTCTCTCTGATCATTAATCAAAGGAGCATAAATTTGGGGCTGGAAGGGACTTTAGAAATCCTCTATTTCAATCCCCTTCCTTCTTTTACAGGTGATGACACAGACCTAGAGATGTTAAGTGATTCAGTCCTCCATTCTGCCTCCTCCCAAACCCCCACAACACTGTTCTGCTTCTCTTGAACCAATTCTTTATCTTCTCCACAACCTCAAGTACCTCTTCCCTTTCCTGTTTCCCAAAATTATCATTTTTGTTGTGGTCTCTCTTCTGCCTCTTTACAGTGGCGACCCTATAGTTGATGAGTTCAACTACACACCATCCTTCATCCTTGAATTCTTTGCTTGTTTGACCTACTTCTGTTCATACATTATCAACACTCAATCTTGGATGTATACAATTATCTACCTTTTTTCCATGGGAAGTCATATAAATTCCCGGTATCCTAAACTCAACAGCATCATTATTGGTATAGAACAATGTTTTTATTCTTCCCCAGTTTCTTAAAAAGCAAAATAACTTTTAAATTTTTTTTTATTATGAATTTAATAATCATCAAATTTTTTCAAAGTGTAAAGAACTAAAAGAAACTATGAACATCTGTTATATAATTTGAAGATGTAAAATAAATATGTGCATATGCAGCATACATGTGTATGTATATATTATTATATCTAATTTAACAAAATGGAATACTAACCAGCTCTATCACACTTCCATACATCAGCTATTTCAAAACTTGTTTTCTTTTCCCAAGCCTCCTCCCAGTTCTTTCTTCTATCAGTAGAAGACCATACCTCCTACTTTACTAACAGAGGTCATCAGTCACAAGCCTTTTTTTCATCCCCTATTCCATGACTCTTTGACATTGAAAGCTTCTCTATCATCACCCATTCTATCCTACTTTGTTTTTTTTTTCTATGAGGAAAAGGTACAGAATGAGAAAAAAATGTATGGGTTGTAATATTGCCTAATAGAGGTAATGCCTACCTAGGCTGATTTCATGAATTCATTGTAGATTTAGGGTATAGTTTGTTATGGTGGTATTTTAGCTGGACACCTAGTTTCACCCTATTCTTAAATTGTTTGTACCTTAAATTGTGTTCATCTGCCTTACTCCAGAAAACAAATAAACTTCCTGAATGGTAGTCAATGAGTTAGAACCTCTCAGTTATTTAGGTGTGGACAACAGAAACAGAGGCCATACAATAAAAGATACTCAAAAGCGTAAGTATTGCAAGATATAAGCAGTTCTGCCTATGTGTGACATAGGTTAACCCTTACCTTGCTAATCCCTACCCAACAACATTCATCTAAATATATATTATTCTCTCAGGCAACAGTCTAAAGCTAGCTGTATGACCTGTCCTTGTTTCCCCTATCTCTGGGGAAGTAAGTTCAGAGGGTAACTATATGTGACTATACAGCTGGGATACTTATATAAGCCTTTTTACCCTTAGGCTATCCATATTCATTGTGTCTGAGATTTTTTTGTCGTCTGGTCTTTAGTGTGAGCCCCCTTTGAGCAAATGCCTTAGGCACAAACATAAGGAAGATGTGTTTTGGCCAGATGTTCTTGACAGAATGGGGAGTAGAGTGGGTACAAGTGGGGTGCTAACCCAAGCGTCTCACTCTTGAAGTAGTAAGAGCACTGAACCAAGCAAGTCATGTTTCAAAGGTAAGTGTTTGCTGATAATAATTGACCTCTAATTAAACTAATGAACTTTGCTTGAGAATGTGACTTTGAGGCTTCCTGCCATAAACCAAGAAGCATTTATTAGGCACCTACTAAGTGCTAGGTGCTGGGAATACAAACACAAAGCAAAAAAAAAAATCTCTACTCTCCAGGATCTTAGATTCTTGAAGTCCAAGTCATACAGGAGGAACATACTCTTAGATTATCTCCTGCCAATGAACATTGTTTTTAACATCACCATTATCTTACTGGTGCAAAATATTTGGAAATGATAAATCATAGTTTGGAAGCTCAGGTATATCTACCCTGATTCAGATGTAGACATCACTTTTCCAAAGTGCCTAAAAAGTGAGTGTTTTATTTTATCTAATAATTCTGGAATTCTCATTCTTTGGCTTTAAGTAACTCTACTAAATTTAGAGAAGTCCCAATCAATTCAAATTGAAACAAACAAACAGAACAAAGGCCCCTTGAAGATAACTAGAACTATTTGTTATTCAATAAACCAATTAGCAAACAATTCATTAATGCAATTCTAATTTCTACCTGAATGTCTAGTATTGCATGTTTGTGACTGAGCCTTTGCAAGAGGAGAATAATGAAATATAGTTATCCTGGGCAACCTTGAAATCTCTTAGGGGGATGACCAAATGAATGTGAATCATCTAATTGAGTAGCTACACAGAATGCAGGTTGATTAAAATACATTTTGGTTCTAAATTTTAGGAGCTTAATAATTAAAACTGTGTCTTCACAAGAATTAAAACTTTTTACCTCTACCTGGACAACCTTTCACTCTGGCGATGCTTTCACTCTTTTGGCCTCCTCTTCTGATTTGTTATTTTGATCTTTGGAAACTCCATTTGAGGACTTATTCATACTAGTTATGCTCACTTCTCATTTGGGTCAGCCCCCAACCCTTCAGATTACTTTTTACCTTCCTTGTCTCCTCACTTCCTGTTCTCTTGAGAGTAAAGACTATCTTTCTCATTGCTTGTATTTTTATTCTCAAACTTTGGCATATACTGAACCTTTAATATATGTTTTTATCTAATCTAATCTTCCCTATCAAGTGTATGGCATATTCCTAAGAGGGAAAAAGGTTTCATTTTCCCCTAATATTCTTCCTTTTGTGTGAATAAAATGATATAATTCTAAGATTTTGGAGTGATGTAAAATTAACAAAACGTATATTCTGTTTTACTTCATTTTAAATCCGAGGAAGCAGAATCACAAATAGCATACATTGATCTTACCGGATCTATTAGCTGTGTGTAGAGTTCATGGCAGTTGTCAAAAATATACTTGTATGTGGAGTCTAAACAAGCCCTGACACAGTCCTTTACAACAGTGCTGGCTCTTGGTGGACTTTGGAGTTCTAAAACCTGAGAAAGAGAAGTTTTCCATCAGTTGAAAATACAATTAAGTGAGGAATTGTACGTAGTAATGATCCATCATTTAAAATATACTATTAATTCTAAAAAAAAGAGTGGATCTATATTTTCAATGGTATAACCTTAGCTGCCTGGGACACAGACATTAGGTGATTTGCCAACATTAACAGAGCTACTATGTTCCACAGGTGGAACCATAGCTTTATGATTCTGAGGTTAGCTCTCTAGCTATTTCATCATGATGCCTTTCCATTGATAAATAAATGTAAAATATTGTAGCAAAATATGCAACATACAACATTTATTTATAATGTATATCATATGTTTATAATAAATAAAATTTAAATTTATTTTAAATTAACTTAAATAAGTTTCAGATACTTGGATGGACCTATGATTTCACTGATATGGATATTCTTTTCAGAGATGCCGATCATCAACCATCCATGCTTGTGCATCCTTTTGTCCTTGTCTTCCTGGAAAGTCTGTATAACAGATAAAACCAATATACTGGTAGACTCCCTCTAGATCTCTTGACATTTCCCTTGCACCAACATCTGGCTCTCCACCGGTCATTGCTTCCTTTCGGTATGTGATCACCATACCTTTTTTTCTGTTTTTTTATATCTCTTATGGTATCCTTTTCCAGGATTACTTCTCCAGCGCTTCATCCTGACTACCATATGCAATTCTATTGCCCTTTGGATGATATTGTTTGGCTGTGAGAAAAATGATTATTAAAGAGTTCTTCTCTTCTTCTAAAGTCCTGATTTAAAAAAGTAAAAAGCTTAGTCTCTTGAAGGACATTACTGAGGAGATTGAATTAACTTCTCCTCTAACTGACACAACCCAATCCTACAAGAAATCTCTACTCTCTGGGGAATTCTATTTGATTAAACTTGGTTAGAGACAGATCCTTTTTCTAGATAGCCCAAGGCTGGGGGTGGTCTGAGTATAGAGATAGTTTTTTTCTGTCCAAGGGTGACATGATATGATTCTCAGCCCCTCATTTTAATATAGTTCATCTCCCACTCTGTTTACCAAATTTGATTGCTACTCCTCTTCCCAAAAACACATAAGCTTTGAGCCTGTTGCCATGATTGTCTTTGATCTAATAGAGATGGCTAAATGACTGTCATTTTATTAATAACATGCTGACCTTGTTAATGAAATGATTAAATTACCCAGAAAACATGTTTTTCAATTTTTTTAATCATTACAGCTGTAAGACACTGTATGTGATGCTCTCTAAAGAAATGAAATTAAAGGTCACCCAAAGGGCAATAGAGAGGGGTATGTGTGTGTATTTGTATCTATATGTATTTATTTTAGTGTACATGTATATACATACATACATACATATATTTTAGCTGACCAATCAACCAATCAAACTTGAATTTTAGAAGTTTGAATTAAAAGAAATCTCAGAAATATTTTTTAAACATGGAGTTTTTTTGGAACTTTATTATAGGGTAATTGGGATTTTTTTTACCTACAATAGTAACATTATAATATATATGTGTGTGTGTGTGTGTGTGTGTGTGTGTGTGTGTGTGTGTGTATATAGTCTTTGTCAAAACAGCCCTATTACAACGACTAATAGGTATATTTATTTCCTAAATGCTTTGTCTACTAGACTCTGCAGCTGTTTAACTTAGTCATCCATTGCAGTTCTGACTTTTAACCTAGAAACAGAACTTTTAATCAGTTTTTTAAAAGCCTTGTAATTTTTCCCCTTCCTGATAATTTGTAATCTTTCTACTGAATATAAGACCTTAAGTAACCAGAAGGGGAAAAAAAAGATTTTATAGTATCTTTCAGAGTAAGCAGTAGAACTATACGATATTGATCAAGAGGCAACAGTTTTTAATCTGTTTCCTTGAAAACTATTTAAAAAAAATGTTTTTTGAGGCATTGCATGAGCTGTGCCATCACCAAAATCATCACTGTGCCAAGTAATTACTAGTAAGGTAGGGTAAGATAAGGAGACGAAAACCTAAAAGTAAAACGTCAGAATACATCAGGAACAAGAACACTAGCTGATGAGAATTAAGCCTTCTGGGTAAGGAGATTGTACTGTTTCGTTTGTCTACAATCGAGACCAGAGTTTGCAGGGGTTAGTGTGACAAATGCTAAACCAAGGAACACCATCTAAATGTTGAAGACCATGGGTTGAAATTGGAGGAGCTGCTCTCTCTCTTGGGGTGAATGTCAGTGATGCCATTTGATTTCAAACAATGCAAGGAAAGAAGTGCAATTCCACTTTAAATTCTTTCTCAAAAGATTCATATCTGCTTGGATTTTTTCAAAGAGCCTTGCTCAAGATGGACTTACTTTAAAACTAGGTCAGGCTGAATGTATCAGAAGGCCATAAGTGGTAGACATTTGCTTCCTCAAATCAAACTTTATTGGAAGATTCATCAAGTTAAGGCAGAGGCTAGCACCATAATCACTGAGGCTGAATTGTGTGGAATCAGGAAGAGACAGTAAAACATTACTTTTCCTGAAAAATAAATGTGTTCTGTGTCTCACCAAGACAATGACAGAAATAAAATGAGATACCTTCATTCGAAAAAAGGTGATGCTTGTTAGCAGGTCAACAGTTGATTTCAGATCTTGAAGTCTCTCTGAATTGCTAGCAGGAAAGTTGTCCTAGTTAATTAGAGAAAAGGGGAAATGTAGAGGGTGAAGTTATAGGATCAAACCCTAAGGAAAGAGAAACTTTTTTTAAAGGAAAGTATAAATTTGGTATCTTTTTTAAAAAAGACATTGAGCTATTAAGATGAAAAAGTTTATTCATTAAATATTTCAATCTTTATGTGCTCCAGTTTAGGGGGAAAAAAAACTCCAGAAGGATTCATGTGTTGTTGTGGTCTTCTTGATAGAGAGATGGATTTGGAATCAAAAGACTTGAGTTCAGGTATTACTTTTGCCACTTACTACCTGTGTGACCTTAGATAAGTCACAAAATTTCCCTGGGCCACAATTTCCTTCTCTGTAAAATGAGTCAGATTGGATGACCTTTAAAATCTCTTCTAGCTCTAAATCTTTGCTTCTTTGATTTAAAAAATGTGGGTACTCAGTTTATAAATGTAAATTGTAATCCTCCCAGTTTCTTAGTAATCATGAGTCCCTGTGGAAAAACAATGATGGAAAAAAAAAGAAATTCTATACCAAGCATCTACCCTACACTCAGAGACTTTATATCTTACTATATATCTTATCAAACATCACAAAGAAATAATCAAAGTATGAAACAACATAAATCAGAAATAAAAGATTATGGTATAATAATTCAGAAAAGGAAGTTATTTGTAAACTTCCCTTGTAATTTTCTTAATCCTTATAATTTTTTTTTTCAAATGTAGTCTGAGAAATGCCAAACATGCTGAGTAAGTCTTTTGGGATGAAATACAACGACTTTTTTCAATGCGTAATACATTTTGCATTTAGGGGTCTACTTCTGGGAATAAGGGTGAGGGGAGGGAGGGCTACCTTTCCCACCAGATTCAATTAGAATCATTTCTTTTGTATTATTATGTACAGAAGAGCACTGTCGGTTTCATGGTGGCTAGAGCACTAGACCTGGAGTCAGATCTGAAATTCAAATTCAGCCTCAGACACTTATTAGCTACGTGATCCTGGGCAAGTCACTTGAACTTTGTATGTTCCAGTTTCCTCACCAGAAAAAAGTGGAGATAAAAATAGCACTTATCTCCTAGGGTTGCTATGAGGACAAAATGAGATATGTGTGAAGTGCTCTGCAAACCTTAAAGCACTATATGGAAGAAAAGGGGGAAGGAATAAGTAGCTATATACCACCTATTATGGGCCAATCACTATGCTAAATGCTTTCTACAAATATCTCATTTGATTCTCACAACAACCCTGAAAGGCAGTGCCAATTTTACAGTTAAAGAAACTGAGACAAATAGGTGTTAAGTAATTTGCCCAGATTCACACAACTAGTATGTAGCTGAGGCTGGAACTGAGTGAAGGACTTTCTGACTCCAACTCCAGCATTCTATCCATCATGCCACTAGCAGCCTCTGTATATGCTAGTTGTTATTGTTACTAATATTATTAAAATTATTTATATCACTAGAATTTTGAAGAAGGTTCCTGGTTCTCTTCTAGTCTTCTCTTATTGCTGACTAATTTACAAGATCAGCTAATTGTTACATTGTAAAGTATAGAGTCCAGTATTGAGGGCAAGTTCAATAGGTCAGATGTGGTAGTGGGCATGAAGTGGGGAACATGGCAGTAATCATCTCTAGCTGCAGTAAGAGAAGGCAGAGCCATTGAGGCAGCCCCCATGAGGGCTCCGATTGGCTCTGGCTACCTGATAGAGTTGTTTTGGAAGTGGAAAATCATTGGAGGACAAATTGTGATCAACTCATTTTTACCAGAAGGGTACAGGAACTAGACCTGTGATTTCATTGGCTTGTGGAGTGCTCAGAGGAGAAAACTCCCTCTATTAATGCAGGCTAGCATCTTTTTTTTTTTTTTATACATCGTATAGCTTAGAGTTGCCTTGGCTACTGAGGATAGCCAAGTGATTTCCTCAGGGTCATACAACTGTATATATTGAAAGTAGAACTGAAATCCAGGTCTTCCTGAGTCCAAGGTTGGATCTCTTTTCACCATTCCATGTAGACTCTCAAATATATGACTGCTAAAACACACCAAAAACCTTAGCTGAATCCAAATATTCAGAATCCTTTAATAAATGGAGATCTGAGGGATGGACATAAAACAAACAAAAAACCTTTGGTTTAAAAGAGAAAAATAGAGAGACAGAGAGAAAGAGAAAGAGAAAGAGAGACAGACAGAGAGATAGGGCTTCTAACTTTAGAAAACATCAAACTCCTCAAGTTATCATGGTGGCTTTAAGATTCTACTCTATAAATGATTATTCTGTAATATGACAGCCATTTGGACCCAATTCTGTATTTTCCTCTCAGGAAGATAATTTTGTACATACCCTGTACTTTGACAAATCAATCCTCAAAGAGTTGTGCAACTGATCCAGTAGTTTTATGAACTTTTCTCTCTGTAAAAAGCAAAAAGAAAAAGAAGAAAAAAGGACATGCACTCATTGGTATTTGAATGTTTTTTAAAAAATCACGTCAGGGACAAATGTGCCATTTAAAATGCCTAACATAAAGCATGGGTTGACTGCCTTCCTCTTGGGATCTGTTTGCAAGGCACGTTGTTTTTAATTTATAGTCATATAAGCATTGCTAGGAGATAATAGGAAGTGTATCAGAAATTGCAAAATGTGTTTTGCTGAGCTTCATTTATGCCTGCTGCCATACTCCACCATTCTCCTAATGTAGTACAAATGCTCCTGGCGTCCAGCCAGTAGCCTTCAGATTAGAATGCATTAGCGAGCACCAATCTCCTCCTCTCTCCTCCTCTTCTGTTCTTTATCTCACTAACCAGCTCATTGTGAGGTAAACAAGCATAATCTCCATGGGAAGGGGAAAACATGAAAATATTGAAAAAACAAAGGTTTTGAACCACCTGAACAAATGATAGTTTCATTTCCAACTAAAGTACAGAGATTTGTTCTAATACTCTTATGAGCTCACATTTCTTTTCTTCCTTTCAAATGCATAGAAGTGTATTTGAATGTTCCTTAAACTCTGATCTCAGGATGCCCAAAAGGAAAAAAGACAGAGCTTTCTAACTTCCTGCCCCTTCAGCTAACCAGACTTAATTACCAAAATGAGCTTTCTCATTGGAGAGAAAGCTGTTTCCTAAGCATAAACTAGACACTTTAAGACCACCAAGAGTTATTTCACAAATTAGATCTCTTGAGTTCATACCCTACCTCCCTGAGCACTTTGCTCATTATTAGACACTGACATAGGCCCTCTGGATCAGTTGAGTCTGATAATGTATTATTTGGTTCAATAAGCATACTTCCAATGATTAGTCATTCAACAGGTGTGTATTAAGCCCCTGCTATGACTTGTGCCAGGAACGAGGATGAAAAGACACAAAACAGAAGTTCTTGCCATCAAGAAACTTGAATTCTATCAATAAAGATGGTACAATGTATCCATGAGGCACTGCGCTAGCATCAGACGTGTTGGTTGCTCCTTGTCCTTCATTTGGAAAGAGGACCAAAATGAGGTCACTACATTGGAGTCAAGGTATAGCGTGTCCAATGATGGCTGATCAGACTAGGACGAGCTTGGAAGGCTCTACCACAGGCTGAGCACTAATAGTCCATATGAACATTTGGAGAGGAAATGTCTCTAAATTTGCACATCTCACATTTCTTTTGAGCTACTTCAATTCTGCTTTGCTCATAGAGCACAGCATCTTCTTTTATGTAGGCACATCATGCTGGGTGGTCCTGTGCCAGTCAATAACACTTGATAGAGACCCTGCTCTGAAAGAGTTTATATTCCATAAATCAAAATCTACTCAGCAACAGTGACCACTGATAACACCAATTCACTGAAGATTCACTGAGTAAATAAGGGGCTTCCTGGATGGAAGATAATGAACAACACTATGCTTTACAGTAGGCTGTTCATCAGGGTTGACTGAATTTGTGTCCTATGCAGTTGCACTAGTAGAATTCTAAGAGAGTTCTATTTAGTATTGAGCAAGAGGTTATTCCCCTAGAGTGACTATCAACGTGGGAAATTGTTCCATTGTTGTGTATTCTCTTGTTTCTTATACAGAAGGACAACGCTTTGAGAATTCACCAGTGCTTTACTGGCACCAGTGGTTGCAAATCATTGACAGAATGCCAAGATTGTGTCAAAATAAGCAAATGAAAAACCTGCCAGAAGTCTTTTCTACCCTTGCCTTCCCCCCTCATGTTTTAAAAAGGCTCTAGGTTGCCTTTGGAACCTGCCAATTTATCTGCCTGGGACTTTAAGCAAGTCACTTAACCTCTCTTGGCCCTGTACATTTCCCCTTTTCTCTAATTAACTAGGACAACTTTCCTGCTAGCAATTCAGAGAGACTTCAAGATCTGAAATCAACTGTTGACCTGCTAACATGCATCACCTTTTTTTGAACCAGGGTATCTCATTTCATTTTTGTCATTGTCTTGGTGAGACACAGGACACGTTAGTTTTTTTCATTTTATAGATGAGTCTCTCCATCATAACAAATGTACAATAATTTGCTCTCTTCGCAATTTTAGCCTCACAACGTCTCTCCAACTTGGCCCCTTTTCCCTTTTCTCCACTCACTCAGTCTGTACCCTAGCTCAGGCCCTCAATGTCTCTCACCTGAAGTATTGCTATAGCATCCTAACTCTGCTTCAAGTTTCTCCCCTCTCAAATCCATCCTATACATGGATGCCAAGTTGATATTCCTAAAATACAGATCAGGGTATATCACTCCCAAACTCAAAAATCATCAGGGTTTCCTATTGCTTCTAACATAAAATACAAAATCTTCAATCTGACATTTAATGACCCTCACAATCTTGCTCCCATCTACCTTTATGATTTTATTTCATATTACCCTTGTTCCAGTCATATTGGCTGGCTGTTGTTTCCCTATGTGATGTTCTACTTTTTGCTTTCATTCCTTTGCACAGGTTGTCTGTTTTTCCACTTCCAAAAAAAAAAAAACATTCCCTCCTTAACCCTTGTCTTTTAGAAATTCCTTATGTCTATCAAAGAACAGATAAGGTACCAGCTTCTCCCAAGGCTTTTCCTGATTTCCCACAGTTATTCACACTCCTCCCTCTTGAAATTACTTCATAGTTATTTTACAATTAGCAAAAGGGAGCATCACACTGTAACTAATGGAGTTCTAGGCTTTGAGTCAGGAAAACCTGATATCAAACTTGTCTCCCACTTTTAGTAGCTATGGGACTGTGAACCACTGTGTGCCTCAGGCACCTCCTTATGACTTACGTAGGGGGAGTCTCCCATGCTCAGGAAATCACATGGGGTCTAGCTATTTCCCAGCAAAAGGAATCAAAAGCCCCTTTCAGATTTGTGACAGTATGAATACATGTTGAGGGACAGTCATTTTGTCTGGTTAAGCCAATGACTGGGGGCTATTGTAACGAAGTGTCCTGGTGCCAAATTATTCAGACAACTTCAAAAGTCATATAACACAAAGGCCTAAGACAGGCTTTCTTATGATTTCCCCAGTATAACAAATATAGTGTGATCATTACCCCCATTATATAGATGAAGAAATTGAAGCATACAGAGGTTAAGTGACTTTCCTAGATTCACAGTCACTTAGCAAGTATCTGAGGCTGAATTTGAATTCGTGTTTTCATGAATCCAAGTCCAGTACTCTACCTATTAGGCTACTTAAGTGCCTTGAACTCCTAAGAAATTTTCTCTTGCCTTATATTACTTGCATAAATAGTTACATCCAATTTTAAAATATATTTTCTATGCTCTTCCTTCTTTTTCATGGTATTGGTGAGGGTCTATGGACATAGATTACTATATATATAGTCAGATATGCCCAAAATATGCATGTTAGTTTTGGTAAACTACCTCTTTGTAAAACTTTGCTGAAAGGGATGGTTCTCTGAGTAGGACAGTTTAAAGTTTAAAGAATTTTAATATTTAGAAGTGAATATGATATAAAAAAAAGGTATCAATAAAATTAGGTATAATAAAAAGGTATCAATAAAATTTAAAAAAATTCAAAATAAAATGCATTTTCTTCGACAAAAGGAGAGCAGAATCATCAACTAACAGGAAGAATAAGTCAGCATTGAAGTTTTTGAAATGAATGGAATTTAAAGCATTGAGGCACCTTTTCTGTTTCCTGCCCTGTTTCTATTTCCTCTGAAAGAGAATTTTTTGTAATCACATTGCGGCTGAAGCACTGGCCTCTATTGAAATGCACTCTGCATTCTCTTTCAGGTTAACATGAAATGAAGGGACTCTTCATATGACTTCCTTATAAGTAGGTTTCATGGTTGATGATAACATTAACATCCTTTCTCCCTGAAGGGTGAAAGGCCTAGTGTTCCACAAGGTTAAGCTATTCCTTATAGCAGAGCCCGGCATGATATTGGAAACATATAGAGTATAAAACATAGCCTGCTTCACATGACAGGTAAAATCCCTTGATGATACCATTCCAAATGTGAGGTTTGTATAACAAAGCTCAGCTGGGTTCCAGTGGATGACCATAAATAGCTATACTCTGTTGATATGGCTACAGTCAGTTCTCTGGTCCCTGGCCATGCAAGAGTAAATACGTATAACTAAACTACTAGCCCATAGCTGTTTGCACAGTGTGACCCAAAGTCCAAAAGCATGCTAACCTGAACTTAAAGAAGGATGAAGATGTTTTGCTTATGTTTTGACAATTTTATATTGAAAAAATTTTCATTCCTATTATTGTATTTGATCTGGACCATAAAACTATAGGCTAGAGAGGCAATGTATCCCTTCCCATTTGGCAGACAGGGGTAACTGAGGCACAGAGGAATTAACTGACTCACCTAGGTCACATACCACCAGACCTTCTGAATTCCAGCTCTATGTTCTTTTCATTTGATTTACTGTACCATTTGTGGAAGATCATTTAATCTTTGAGCCTTTCTACTTTGTGCCCCTTCCCCCTTCCACACATCCTCACCAGAAAAATACAACACCTCCCCCAAACCACATACACTCCCTGATTGCCTGCACCAAAACTTACATACAAAAACATGAGAAGAGAACAAAGACTGGGGCTACATCATATCTGTGTTTCCTTTGCCCTACTGGGTTCAGATTCAGACTTCATCTACTCATTCACTATGTTTTATATCTATAGATTGAAAATAGGATTTTTAACCAGGCATAGTTCAGACATGCCTCTCTGCAATTACACAGTCCTTAACACAACATTCAACTGTAAAGTCTTTTAATATGGCCATGCAAGATACATTTAAACAATTTACCGTGCATTGATATTACATAGTAGTGTCTCTCCAAAAAGCTCAATTCTAACAATCATTTAAACTAAATGTATATCCCTATTTTTTCTTATCTATTACATTGGGTATTTACTCTTCTCTTTATTAAAATGGATGATAATGAAGCAAAGTTTCAAAGCTATAGTTTATTTTCACTTGGAAATGAATTATCCCAACATTCAGTTTAAAAAAAACCAAATAGACAGGAACAAAATTTGCATAATCAAGTACACTAATAATTCAACATACAAAGGTTGCCTTAATTGGATATTGGATGCTCAAGAATAGAAAAGAGCTCCCTATTGAATTAGGTGTTGGTATAGGCATGGCAAGAAAAAGGGAATTTAATCAACTTTCTAGATAATTTAAGCTGCAAGTACACTTTTACTTTTATCGCCAAATAAGCCTGTTTGGGTAGGAATGATACAGATAACTCCAATTGTGTCTTCACTTCACTTTTCAGGCCCAAACAGAGTCATGAATTACTTCTATATTTCTAGAGTGAAGCAGGATGTTATGTATGCATATATGCCTTTTATATATATATATATGTTAAATTTTTTAAAATATATGCTCAATATTGCCTAACAAGGTCTCAATAAACATGTCATGAATTCAATGCTGGTTGACTGTTATTTAATAGCCACCATTGTCACCGACAATTATACATGTGGGAACAGAAGGAAAATGTTGCTATACTTTTTTTGCCTGCATCCCTCTTCTGAACCTCCATCTCAAGCCCTCCCCAAACTATACTTTTCAACTTGGGTGAGATAGTTAGGTCACATTGACAAATGAGGGCTTAGTTCATGGTCCTGCAGTGACAGATATACCTTCTAGTATGGTGCAGAAGAGAAATGGTGTGATTTAATAGAATGCCAGCCTTGAAGTTAAGATGGCCTGGGTTCAAATCTTGCCTTGGATGCATACTAGCAAGACCCTTCACCTCTCAGGCCAACAAGCTGCAATTCTGTGGACCAGCATATGCAGATTTCCCCACACTGATGAAGTCAAAGGTCCAGACAACAGTAATAATAATTACCATGATAATGGTTCACATTTCCTTTTTATCTGCAAAATTATCTTGTTGTTATTGTAGTTTGGTTGTTTTTGTCACGCCCAACTCTTTGTGACCCCATTTGGGGTTTTCTTGGCAAAGAAACTGAAATGGTTTGCCATTTCCTTTTCTAGGCCATTTTACAAATGAGGAAACTGAGGCAAACAGTGTGAAATGACTTGTCCAGGGTCACACAGCTAGTAAGTGTCTGAGGCCAAATTTGAACTCAGGAAGTTGAGTCTTCCTGACTCCAGCCCCAGTACTTTATCTACTGTGCCACCTAGCTGTGCCAAAGTTCTCTTTAATACTCTTTAAATTATTTTTCTAAGGTGAGGGAGAAAACCTCTGACTAGGTGCTACTAAGGGGAAGTCTCAAGTAGGAAGGCCTTAATCAGGTGTTAATATGACTTTAACATCTCTAATACCTGAAAATGTTGATATGTGGATTTGGGTGACAGGAGTCTAGGATATCTGAATATACCAAGAGCTGCCATAAGAGCCACAGTTGTGGTGGATGTGGTAGTAGGAATTAGTAAACAATTACACATTTTACTTTAAAAAATGAGAATATAAAGAAAATATCCTTTCTACTACTGAATCAAAGGACATTCTCCAGGTTTATATTTAACTGAATTTAGATTCTTCTCTGACTCAGTAATTGCCTCTGTAAATCTATCTCACCAAAAATACTCAAATAAGTGTTAAAGCTTTAGCACTATAAGCTAGATAGGAACAGGCATGAGGATTCTATAAAGATATTCTGGAAACAACCTAAATCCCAAGGCCCTGGGAATAGGACCAGGATCAGGCTTTCCCCTAAAAACCTGCGAAGAGGGATTAGTTTTCCTTAAAGGCAATAAAACTGTCACTGAAACTGACCAGACCCTGTCTAGCTTGAAGAAACTGGTGACCTAAGGATATAAAAACTCCCACTCATATGGAGTTCGGACTTTGTAATCTGAGGATATTTCAAGACCAAGTGAATCACTAAACCCTCCTTTTCTGATCAGATGCATTTGTATGTGGAGGTGAGGGGGGACCACAAAAGAAGTTAAGTGCTTGTTGCAGAGTAAACTTTTTGTTAATTGTTTAGTGACTCACAATTAACAGGTACCGGTGTCAGGTCCTCCTGTAACAGCCCCACAGACTTAAAAATATAGACAATCATGGAAAAATCAACTCAGAAAAGCCAAAGTCATTGTAATGTACTAAAATCATACTTACGCCAAAATTGGTAGCAGCAAACCGATCCGAGGCAGACACCTGCACATTAGTTGAGACTGTTGGGTGGGCGTAAAAAGCATTTATGTTTGCCAATAAGGTACTCATCACTGCTGGGACACCAGGACACATGTACTTGGAAGACAGACACGAAAAATGCCTGTAATACAAAGGGATTAAAAGCTTTTTAATACATGTCATGTTTATTTAACAAAGATGCAACATTAGACCCAAGGCTAGAAAAGTAGTTTTTTTCAAATGTAACACACACACAAAAAGAAAGAAATAAAAAAGATATAGAACTAACATTTCTAAGACAAAGAAGAAGAATTTCTTTATCAAATTTAACCTTTTCAAGTTCTCTTGTCTCAAGTGCAAGATAACTAATTAGGGCCCTGCTCCCAAATACTACAACATTCCTTTCAACTTGGGAGAGAGAGGGGCAGCTAGGTGGTGTAGTGGATAGAGCACTGGCCCTGGATTCAGGAGGACCTGAGTTCAAATCTGGCCTTAGACACTTAACACTTATTAGCTGTGTGACCATGGACAAGTCACTTAACCCCATTGCCTAGCCAAAAAGAAAGAAAAAAAGGAAAAAAAACAATTTGGGTGAGGTAATAGAATTAAATATTCAAAAGCCAAAGGATGAAATTTCTGTTGACGTTAAGGGATTGTCAAAAAGACTGAGGTCCTTTCTTTAACTTCAGCTTCTAGAACACCATCCTCTCAATGGTCTCTCCCCATATACTTATCCTGCTATTTTAAACATTCAGCATAAAATAAACATTCAGCTTTAGGGATAAGGACTAAACCTATGACTTCATTGGTATAGGGAATTCCCAATTGAGCAAACTCTATTTCCCAACACCAGTCAGCATCCTTTTGATAGAGAATTGTCAAGAGCACTAAGAGATAAAGTAATTTATGTAGGATCATATAGACTGTAGGTATGAAAGGCAAGACTTGAACCCAAGCTTTCTTGGCTCTGAAGCCACTTATGTATCCACTATACCACTTTGACTTTCACCATTCAAGTGAAAAACAACAACGACAATATTTAATTGGAAGATAACATCTTATATGTGAATGTTGACCATTGTAGCCAACTTAGCCTTCTTTTCTTGAACCCTTTGACGCGCATGATCCTGATCTACAGTAAAATGAGCACTCCCCATAAAAGCTCTATCTGTGCTTTTTCATTTGGTAGGCAAAAAAGTAAATCTGAATTCTCGAAGGCTATGGTTGATAAATTGATGCTGTCCCTTTTTTCTTCTTCTAACTGGCTATTGATTTTTGACCTTTGATTTAACTAGTCTAAGTAGTCAGCTATACACAGAGAGATGATTCTGAAATAACTGTTAAAATACTGACAATTTCATTTAAAAATATTCATCAGCATTCTCTGTGTATACGGCCTTCTGATACTCTCTTGAAGAAAATATTCCTTTTATTAGAGATGTGAAGTTCCAGAGTAGTCTACTGCCTTTGGCCTCCATTTCTTGCTCCCAGTATATGTTTCCCAGCACCTTTTCCCAGGAATTCCCTTGTGCCCACCTTAACATTGAAGTCACAAGTTATCAAGGTGCAGATTGACTTAATTTGGAGGCTCTCATCAAGGTCTTCATAGATGGTGTGACTTTCTTGTCCTCTGCAACTGACATTGGCATATAAGAAGTGATTACCTAGAATGGTGGTATGTTTGCTATACAGGTCATGAGCTGTGTAAACCAAAACCATCCAATGAAAAGATCTTTTTTGTTACCATTAGATATCCTGGGAAAACAACTGTGCCAACCATTTTATTCATCTAGGTGAACTTCAAGCCATTTTCCATTTAGCTGCAATTTCTTCTTTTTGTTTCATTTATGGTAAAATATCAAAGTGAATCTGGTTCAGCACCACCAAATTGTTGGTCAGTGAACTAGCATTTGTTAAGCACCAGGCAGTGTGCTGAGTACTGGGGATACAAAGAATGGGTGTTGCCTCAGACAGGTTGAGGCCTGGGAAAGACCTTAGCTTAAAAAGGACAAGGTCTCCCACTGCATCCAGGGCCATCTCCAATCACCTTGACTTTTGTCTTGCCACTAGACTCAGATGACTCTGGAGGAGAGAGTGAGGCTGATGACTTTGCACAGCCCTGCCTCACTTAAACCCAATTCACTTGCAAGTCAAGACATCACCTTCCTGATGTCACTGGTCCTCTTCAAGAACAAAGAACAACAAACAAAACCCAAATCCCTGATCTCAGGGAGCTCACAGTCTAATGAAAGACATAACATGCAAATGACTATGTACAAACAGAATATATACAAGATGAATTGGGGATAATTTCAGAGGGAGGAAATTAAGATTAAAGAGGATTTGGAAAAGGCTTCTTGTAGAAAGTGGGATTTTGGAAGGGGACTTGAAGGAAGCCAGGGAAGCCAGAAGTCAGAGATGAGTGGGGAAAGCATTTCAGGCATGAAGGAGAGCCAATGAAAATGCCCAGCGTTGGGAAATGGAGGGTCACGTGTCAGGAACAACAAAGAGGTCAAAGTCATTGGATGTCATTGGACAGAGTTTGATTAATATTTGTTGACAGTTTAGGGACTATGAGATTCTTTGCACCCTCTACCCACTTTTTTCTTTTTTACCAATCTTCTTTTGTTACTACAGAACAAAAACCAGAAAACTGGTGGTCCTTTTGTTTCTGTTCCCATTCTGCTGGACCTCTCTGCCATGTGGTATAGTGTTCAGTAGTATAATGGTAAGAAGGGAAGTACAAAGTTAAGAGATTGATGGAAGTATAGTTAATGGGACATGGTCACTAATTTGGGATTGCAAAATTTTAGGAATAGGTACAAGTAAGTGCTTCCCATTATGGTGCCTAAGGATATCTTTCTTAGGGTCAAGGAGGTAGCACAATGGATACAGCACTGGATCTATAGTCAGGAATACAAGAGTTCAAATTCTTTCTCAGACATTTAAAAGCTATGTGACCCTGGGCAAGTCATTTAACCTCTGCAGTTTCCTCATCTCTAAGAGGGGAAAGAAAGGGAATAAGTATTTATGAAGTATCTATTATGTTTCAGGCACAAGTATAACAAATATCAACTCATCTGATCCTCATAACAACCCTGGGAACCATTACCCTATTATCATCCTCATTTTATAGTGGACAAAAATGAGGGAGGGGATAATAATATTACATATTTCCCAGGGTTGTTGTAAGGATCATATGAGGTAATATTTATAAAGTACTTTCCAAACAATAAAGTGCTATATAAATGCAATTATTGTTGTTGTTGTTTTTATTATTATTGCCTCCCCATATTTTCTTCATGGTAGGTATACTTCATCTATCCATAGACCTTTCCAGTGATGTCAATTCCTCTAGAAATACAACAAAATAAGACAGGCCATGTGTTCTGATTTCTAAACCTAAAGTCTAACTGTGAGGTCCTTGTCCAGTAAACAACATGTAGACATATTAGAGTGACTGAAGCATTGATTTTATATTTAAAATTAATTTTTGCTGATTTGAAAAGTGTAATTTTTGTGTGTGTATTTAATAAGGATGATTTAAAGATGAATGACCAATTTTCAATCTGCATCAGTAGATGAATTTTCCAAAATGGAAGTTCCCTATGTGGATGAACATCATGGGCCCAACCCTTCCTCCCACTGCAGGGGGAAAATCGTGGTTAGGTTACCTTTTATTCTGCTATATCAAATGACTTTTAAAATCACTAAACAAGCAAATATCATTATTTTGTATAATGTCTCTGCTGGGGCCACTCCCCTCAATTTGTACTTTCATTAACAGGTGGTATTCTCAGGGGGTGGCTGCTGTTCTCAGGTTCTAGGGCAATTCTATGGGTTGTTGCTCCTACTACCATAGCTCTAAAGCTCCAAGCAGTTTGCTTTCATTAAGACTCAGCCAACAGACTTAATTAGCTTTTGGCAAAGGCATTTACCGAGATGGTATAATAAGAACAATTCATGAAGCATTCCTCCAAACAACCTGAGGGCACACTTCCCATCAACTACGTAGGAAGAGCAGGCTTGACTTTACAGTAAACGATGGTAGAAGCACCTGGGTAGGAATCACATCTCTTGCTACTGGCATTTCTTTCTTTCTTTACAGAGTCCTCACACAGCATCCTTTGAAGGTAGCTTTTTACTGGACAAGCTACTTCTCTGGCCCCCAGGGGCAGCTTCATTCTTGAGTCCATAGCTAGTACTTGTCTCTGCCAAGAAGGGGTATGTTCTCTGATGCTGCCTTTGCCCTTTGGTAACCGTCTTTCCTCATTTGTTTTTGTCTTCATTGGATCTCAGCTCCCAGGTGGGTGACAACTCACATATTCAGCATTTTTGACTACGTGGCTTATACAGAAGCAGAGAAAATATTCTCCTCCAACCCTAACTTTGCTGTCCTCTGAGCAAACCTGAAAGGGATATGTCTCCACAAAGTTCTCCTAAGCCTGGAATTCCCAACTGTTGAGTAGCTTACTGTTTTTAGTATTGGTTCAAAGACTAACTGTTGTCTCAACCACAGGTGACTAAGTATACAGTCTCACATTTGTGGCGAGTAGTGGGAAAATTACTTAACACCTGCTCAATACCCTGTGATTACATTCAGGGCTCTGTGACTATACTGCTTGAGTTGGGGAGGGGTGGAACCTCCTCCTTAATATTATCTTCTTTATATATGTCAATTAATTGGGTAACTGAAAAGATTTAGTCCACTTCTGAAATATTTTTATAAAAACTTCCCTGTATCATTTTTATGTTTTCATCAAGGATTTTCTTGAAACATTTAGACTCCATTTGTGCAAAGTTATGTTTCTAATTTTAGATGTCAAAAGTTGATTATATAAGCAGGCAGTTACTGTACTGATACGTCTTTCCGCCTTTTTATTTTGGTAAAGGCATCATCATCTATCAGAGTTTAAATTCTTTTGGAACTTTCCTTTTTTAAAAGTATCTTGATAATTGACCTTTATGTTATGCTGATTTAGCCTGATAATTAAAACAGGATAATATCAGCGATAGGTTTCATGATCTATGCTAAATGACCATAGTCAATACCTTGGAGTTTTCTATTATCTATTTGTATGTTAGGTACACAGTCACATCTATCAGGGTTTGTGCTGATGTGTGGGCTAAGGTTATCCATAA